AATCCTGGACAACTTGAACTGGACAGTTTATCGCCATCATCAGTCAGCACCTATGGAGTGTCTCCGCCGGCAGAGGCAGGCTCTGGGGATAGTACAAAGGTGAAGTGGACAGGGTCCTTGTTTGCAGAGCAATCCCAGTCTAGCTGTAGTGACTGGGCACACACACACCAACACACACACACACACACACACACACACACACACACACACACACATGCAGAACAGAAATGGCCTAAGGTAAACTTGCACAAAAGCAATACAGGCAAGGTTCTGGAAAGGTTCTGGCAAGGTTCTGGAAAGCTGTCAGTAAGGAGGACCAGGCCCTGAAACCAGGCTCAGATAGTTAGGGGAGGCTTCATGAGGCCACAGGAAGTGAGGGAGGGTAGTTGCCATGAGAGAACAGTGTGGAAGGCAGAGGCACTGAGTGCTGGGAATGGGGGAGAGTCCAGGCAATGACACTGGAAGGGCAGCTATGCGCAAAGAGACAGGAGGGCTGACTTGAACAAGGCCATGTTATGAGTACGGCCTCATAGAGATTAGCATGATGGTTAAGCTGGGCCCATGCAGTGCTCATAGCAACCCCTCGAGAGGACTGTTTATTATCCTCATTCAGCACATGGGCAAACTGAGGCCAGAGATGCTCAGACACTTGAATGCTAAGCATCAGGAGCTAGGCAACTCCTGGGCAAAGCTGTGTTTTAGGAAGCACTGTTAAATTAATGGGCAGGCTTGGGTCACACAGGGGCCAGAGAGGGGTTAGAAATCTGCCTGGATCCTGTGGGCAATGTCCCCAACTACTCAAGAACTCAGGAAAAGCCAGAGGTACAAGACATTCTTCCAGAAATTTTGTTTCCTTAAGGATTCTATCTGCAGTCTATCTACTTCTCACTGCTGATTTTGTTCCATGAGTAGGGGTGGGGAACTGAGAGGGAGAGGGTAGCTGAGGAAAAAGAAATTCCTGCTCTTTGTAAAAGATGTGCAGGAGAGGCTCACTTGCAGGCCACCCCAACGAACCAAGGGTGACCTGAATATTTTGAAAAAGTAACCCCAAAAAAGGAGGAAAAACAAGAGGCATCCAGGCCGGTGGGGAGGCACAGGTAAAAGCCACCAGCCCCAGATCACAAGCCTGAACTGAGGAGGTAGAAGTGGGGACAGGAAGAGGAGAATTTATCCTGATCAGAGATGTGGGAGGCAGGGACAGGACTTGGTGACCAAGCAAATGCAGAAGCAGGGTGAGGGTAAGGGGACCCCAGGAGCAAAGCTCAGTGACGCTGAAGTGTGTCCAGCCCCTGACTGAGAGGTAAAGGATAGGAAACAGCAGTTGGCTTTGTCTGGCACACGTCAGGTCTGACAGGCAGCAGGAAACAGAGGAGGCATTTCTCTTCTCACCTGCAAAAAACGTTCATCTAAAGACCGTCCCTCAGGACCCCGCTGACCACCCCAGGGTGGCTTGGAAGAAGAGCCTGTCCAGAGCCTTCAGAGTCCAGGTGCAGGACTCAACCTACAGGTGCCGCCCTCTCCCCGCCTCCGTGTTCTCCGGGGTCCACTCTGAGAGTCACCTGAGGTCGCTGAGGACCCTGGGGCTGCCACTTTGCTGCCTACCCATCCGGTGCCACCCGGACGCCTAAGTCCCCTGAGGCAGAAGGGAACTGCCTGGCCTCCACCACGGAGACGCCCTTGCCCCGCCCCCGAGCCCTTCCCTGGGTTCCACTCCCCACTTCTGCCAGCTCCGGCCCGGCTCCGCCTCCTAAAAGCCCCACCAGTACCACCCAACACTGCCCCGGCTCCGCCTCCCAACACCTTCACCAGTCCTGCCCCAGCACCGCCCCGGCTCCGCCTCCCAACCTCCCCACCAGTCCCGCCCTGCTCCGCCCCGGATCCGCCTCCCAAACACTCCACCAGTCCTGCCCCAGCACCGCCCCGGCTCCGCCTCTCAACCTCCCCACCCGTCCCGCCCTGTTCCGCCCCAGCCACGCCTCCCAGCCACCCCGCCAGTCCCGCCCTGCCCCGCCCCGGCCACGCCTCCCAGCCGCCACCATCAGTTCTGATCTGCTCCGCCCCGGCTCCGCCCCCCAACCACCTCCCCAGTCCCGCCCGGCTCCGCCTCCCAACCGCTCCACCAGCCCGCCCAGCCCCGCCCCGGCTCCGCCTCTCAGCTGTCCACCCAGCGCTTCCCCAACCCCGCATCGCTCCCCTGCAGCTCCTCCTCCCAGCTACACCACCAGTCCCACCCAGCTCCTCCCCAGCTCGCCCCGCTCCTCCCCCCAATACCTGCGGTCCGGGGTCCCCAGGCCCGCCACACTCCACCCTAGCCCTGCCCCAGCTCCTCCTCCCAGCGATCCCGCAACCGGCACTACCCCTCCCCAAGCCCAGCCTGCTCCTCGCTGCTACCCACCAGCCCTGCCCCGCTCGTCCCCAGCTCCTCCTCCCAGCTTTCTCCGACACCGCTCCGCTCCGCCGGAACCCCGCCTGGCCCCTCCACAGCTCCTCCTCCCAGTTTTCGCCCAGGCCCACACCCCTTTGGCCGCTCCTTCACAAACCGGTCCGCCAGTCCCTCCCTGCCCCTTCCCCGCTCCGCCCCGCTGGACCGCAGCTCTTCCTCCGCGCGGTCCACCAGCCACGCCCCACTCCTCCCCCCTTTCGCCTTTCCGGGGTCCCCCTCCCTGCCCTACAACTCCGCAGGTCCTCACCCACAGTGGTCCCCCAACTCCTCCCAAGGCTCCACGTCCAATTCCACCTCCCCAACGTAATCCCGCTGCACCCCAGCTCAGCCTTCCCACTTTCCTCAGCTCCACCCGCCCCTCTCCAGCTCCTCCACTCAGCTCCGCCCCGCTACTCCCCAGGTCTCCATCCCCGGTGGTCCCCCAGCTTCTCCTGTGGCGCCTCCCCACGCTCCGTTTCCCCAGCGCTCCCCAGATCCCCCCTGCACCTCCGCCGGCTACACCTCCTCAGGCCCACCCTACTCTTCGCACAGCTCCTCCTCCGCCAAATTCCCCCCCAGCTCAGTTCTGCTCCTTCCCGCTCAGTGCCCTAGCTCCCCCCCCCAACTCCTTCTCACAGCCGGAGCCCACTCCTCTTGCAGGGGCGCCCCAGCTACTCCCCGAAACCTGCCTCACAGCTCCTCCCCCAGCTCCTTCCCACAGGCCGCCCGCCCGAACCCCTCCCCCAGCCCCGCCTCCCGTAGTCCCGCCCCACTGGCCCGTCCCCACCGCGCCCACCCCGCCCCTTCTCGCCGCGGCCCCATTTCTTTTCTCACTTCCGGTTCCGCTCCAGCCGCCGGTGCCTACCTCCCCACCGAGCGGAGCGTCCCCCGCGAGTCGCGGCGCGGTGAGTCCAAACACGTCTCCTAGCGGCAGGGGCTGGCGCGGCTCTGTGCTTGCGCACATGAGTGCGTCTGTACGTAACGGCTTGGCTGCGGGCCTCCGCGCTTGCGCACGGGCCTGTTCGGCCCCTCCGTGTGCGTACGTGGGTTCGAGCCTGCGCACGCGCCGCAGAGAAGGGGCGCCGGCGCCTGAGCGAGCCTGTCAGGTGAGGGACCGCCGGCGCCTGAGCGAGCCTGTCAGCGGTCCCCAGGGCCGGGCCGCGCCGATGGCCTCAGGGTGGCCGCGGCGATGGCCCGAGAGCCACGATGCGGGCGCAGCACTCTGTCCTCCCTCCGCGGCCCGCGTCGTCTCCTCGCCGGCGCGTGGGAGGCGGTGGTCCTGGCGCTGGTGGCGTCGGTGGGTCCCTCGGAAGCGGCCGATCTCGCCCAGTGGCCGCAGCCGGGTCAGCCGAAGGGTGCCCGCGCCTCCGTGCCCGGACCCGCCCGCCAGCAAGGGAGCCGGGAAGCCGGTGCTGCTGAGGCCGGCTCGGCCCTCCGCGGGACGGTACCTCTGGGCTGGGGTTTCCCGGGCCGGGCCGGGCCGGGGCGGGCGGGTCTGGGAGCATGCACAGAGCTGCCCAGGCCACCCTTCCCTGTCCCCTCCTCCCGCCACTGTCACAACGCCCGCCATCCTTCGAAGTGCCCGTACCAGCGAATAGCCTGTGCGCCTAGAAGCAGGAGCATGCCGGTCCTCCCATCACCAGCGCCCCCCACCCCGTGTCCCTCCCTGCCTCCCTTGGGCCCTGGGCTGTGACCTACCTGAGGTTCCCCGGCTGTGCAGCTGTGCGGTGTAGCCTGTGGCACTCCTCCCGCTGGGGCCGACTCGGGATTTTATTGAGGGGAACGGGATTGTAGGGTCCCCAGATCCTTCCCCTGAGACAGTGTGAGGGGGTGGGGTCATCTGTCTCCTGTCGGATAAGGGGTCTGCTAGGCTGGAAGGACACGATCTGCTTCCAGGAGAGGATCTTCTCTGCTGCTGCTGGCTGGGGCGTCAACGTGATGAGCAGAACCAAACCTTGAGGGAGGTGTTTCCCATGCCAGGGGCCCTCCTGAGTCCCAGTGGTCCCCCAACCCTGCTGAGCAGAAAACCCGTTCTGGCACATTCGCCAACATTGTCCTTTTCTACCTGATGACTTTGTCTTCTCCCCGCCACCCACCCCAGTCCCTGTGCAGGTGACGAAGCCCAGACAAGTGGAACAGCATTTCCTGCTCAGACCACAAAGCAGGTACTCTGCGGGGTGGGGCAGGAGGGCACCCTTACGGTTCCATCCCTCGAGGGGCTCCGTCCACACTGTTCCGTTCTCCTTGTGGTTTTGTGGCCCCCATGACAAAAGGGTTGGCCAAGAAACTGAATGGCAGACACGAGGCAAACCTGCAGTCTGGTTATCGACCCTCATAGAAGAAAGAGAAAGGGCCAGGCCACAGGGGGACATCCAGCCTCCCTCGTGAATAATCCGGACCCAATGAACAGGGCGACCCTCTGTCACCCATCGGGTTGGCAGAGCTGGAACAGGGTAACGGTGCTCAGGGCCGACAGTAGAGGAGGGAGGACGTGGAACCCTTGCCCGTGGTTGGTGGGGCGTACACAGGGGAGCCTTTGGGGAAGGTGGTCCGCCGGCCCGT